TTGGCCTCTGATCTTGTACCAGTTGCTTTGACTTCTCATTTTATATCAGTAGGCATTGAGGGTCCTTCTCCTGCATTATCATCATCATTGTCATCATCCACTGGTCAACCGGTCTTTTCTGTGCACTTTCCACTTCTTGTGCTAGTAGCAACAGCCACTGGTTGAGGCTTACAGTCTGGCTTAGCTACTTGCTCAGGCTCACTGTCTGGTTTAGCTGCTGATTTATCTTCCTGCCCCCCTTCCTGTCTGCTGCCCTACAGTATCTAGCAGGGTGCGATAAGCATATGCCAGGGCCCGGCCCAGCTCACTGCAATGATCTTTTTCTCCTTAGTGTTATCATGGCACTTCTCTTTCAGGTACTTCACCACCTCAGCTGGATTCTGAATTTGTTCACATGGAAAGTCCCAGGCTATAGAGTCAGAAAATTCCTTTAAGATTTGGCCCATATCTCCCATTTCCTACACCACTCAGAATTTCTCACACCTGGGTCTACTCCTGGGTCAGGGATCTCATCAGCCCCTCTAGAAATCTCAGCCCTCATTCTAGAGAGACTGCAGACTGTATAGAGAAAGCTTACCAGATTTAACACCAGGAAGATGGTCTCTTTAACAGTCAGGGGAAACTGAACATTCTCTAATAGGGAGGTAACAAATTCAGAGAAGAAGGAAAGCAAAGGCTGAAAAGCCTCATCCCCTGCTTCCCCTCTAACAAACTGCACAACCATAACCATGAACCATACATTCCAGGAACAGACCTCAACACCTTTATAAACCCCCTGGAAACCATTACACCCAAACCCAGCCTGATGGATATTCTGGTCAGTGCCCTTCTACTGAAAAACCTACGTATTAGGGACAATACCAGAGCTAATCCTGGATAAAAAAATAAACCTAGAGACCACAGAGGGATTAAGATCTCAAAAAACCATAGGGACCAGAGACACATGCAGGCCTTCACCCCAAGAGACACTATGAATTCAAACAACATAACCAGTAACTGCTCCATACCAACACAAAGTAATTGGAACAAAAATATGATTACAACAGGTTTTATGCACTCTATTGAGCCACGAGTTGGGCGCCAAAATATTTGTCCTAGTTTAGGGAAAATTTGGGAAAAACCCTCTGGAAAGAGCCCCTAGTCCCACAGCCCCTCCCCACCCACCTGGTTCAGGAAAAAATTTTCTCTGAGAGAAGTGGNAACAAAGCAGGCTTAGCATTAACGCGTACAGGTACAAACAATTAAAATAAAGATGGTAAAGTTCATTTATAAAACCAGTGACCTATCACTCTTATCACTCTCAGACAAAAAGATCTGTTTTACTCTTGAATGGTCTTTGTTTTTCTGTCCTTATGAAATGCCATCCAAATGCCAGCCAAATGGTCTCTGACCATTATTTGATGTGCAATTTAAAGCCTTTGAGTAAATTTCATCAAACCCGTCTTATTTCTCCATAATCTGTGCAATATCTTCTATGTGACAAATCTATTATATTTGCTCTATCTACATCTGCATTGGAAAAGGTCAACAATTCTGGGTTCAATACATCAGCTGAAAGAGAGTCTTATTCTAGCTTTTTATACAGACCCTGAAGCCCAGCTGTTAATTGCAGACAAGTAATGAATCAGTTCTTGACACTGGGATCTGAAATTTGCCTCTGGGCTGTTTGTCATATCAGGCAGAGGCAGCTCAGAAGAATCCTCATTAAAGCATACTCTACTGTAATTAGGCCAGCATGGCCCAGGAAAGCAGAGTTTGACTTAATTCCTAACATGCTATTGTGTCTGGTGAAAACAGTTTGGTGGCATACAAACTCATACCTGTAAATGAGTTTAACCACCAAAGCTTGCAAGATTTGATTGAAAGCTAAATAAAATAAAAGCCATTGCTCATTAACCCAGGGCAGGAGCCATTTTTGATGAGTATAGTAGAGCCACAAGCACCTTGCTGGCAGAAAGAATTGTGGAAACTTTAACATGTGATGGAGAAACAGCATCATGCCAAGCCTTCAAAATCAAACTGGATGATTTCCTAGTGACCAATGAAGCTTTCTTTCCCATTATGGCATATGTTTCACTATGTTTTTTTAAAGCAAACAAACAATAAAAATAAGAAGAAAACTCTATCAAGCAAAGCACCAGTGAGAAATCAGAAAAGGAATAATTTTATCAGAGACACCAGAGGAAAGGAAAAATGAATGATTATGCAACTGTCATACAGCTCAATTCTAGAAAAACAAAGAAGTAATTAATCCGAATTACTTCTCACTGTTCTGGCGAAATAAGAAATTTCTCTAGCCTGTAAAACCTCCCTGACAATGCTTATGGGCCATCCAAATTGGAAAATACTGTTATAAATGGAAATATAAGCAAACTTTAGGGAATTTTTGTTGGTCCACAAATTCCGTGTATCAAAGTGGGGGACTTGTAGTCACTGCCAGATCTTTAACTGATGGTTTATACCTTCCTGTAACTGTACACTGCCTAAAATAAAAGTGCTACTTTTTTTCTCTCTGTTTTATGAATATCACTTAACATACAGCTATATGGACATTGACCTATATTAATTCATACCCATAAATCAGTGACAGCAAAACATTAACAAAATAACTGTTCCAACTTTCTCCTCAAATTCTCTGCTATTTGCAGTTACCTTCAAGCATGTCAAAGCATTCATTAGTAAGCTCTGGCTCTTTGGCAGTGTGAAGACTTACACAAAATAAAAAGAAGTATTTAATAAAAAAAAAA